GTAAAACCGAAAACAAAACCACATGTGTGGAAAACCACTGCGAGAGAACAACACGTCCTCTCTGAGTCCAGCAGGTGCGGTCAGGAGGGGAGAAGGCGAGAGGACAGCTTCACTGTGTGAGGGGTCCTGACACCCAGCTGAGCTGTGGCCAAGTGCCACACTTCCAAAGGGTGACTCCCCGCGAAACTCCCATTTTAAAACAAAACAAGAGCTGTATTCCAGGTGCAGAGTAGTGCTGTTTCACCACTATTGTTTGTCAAACATTTTCAGTAAACGCAAAGACCTTAATGGATTCTGGACTCGTTTCTTTCCCTTTATCACTTTGTGTTATAGTCAGAACAAGGGGCTAAGAGTACCTCAATCACTATCAGACCAAAAGCCATCTTAATAAACTTGTATCTTAATATACCAGACAAGACCTTCCAAAGAGTGCCAGTCAATCTGTATTAGTACACGAGCTGTTCATGCAGTCCGACAGCAGCCTCAAGACTTGACAGGACCAGGCAGGTTGTATCCAGGTTGTTTCCTTTACGCACCTTTAACGATCTGCTTGGCACAGGCGTTGTACACGTTCTCCTGAACCGTGTTGGGAGGGAGGACTCTGTCAAAGACATACGGCTTGCCCTGTCAGATAAGAAAATGCCATTAGTCAAAGGACATATATAACAGCATGTCACAGAGCCAGGACACAGCTGAAAACAGAAGACTATGCCTGGTGGTCATCTGAGTACACTGAAACATTGTTTTTCTTTTCTTTCCCTTTCAGCGTGGAATGAACCTTTACCTGTTCCTTAGCATACCCACAGTCAGAACGACAAGCACATCAGACTTTTCAGTTTTAATAACTTTGCCCATACTCCCCATGCGACAAAGAAAAATAAATCCCGAAAAGTTGTTGAGCATAGCAGCTTTTCCCCAGAAGGGATGCTACTTCACATAATATGAAAACAAAGAAAACACTTTAAAAATACCTCTATGGTTTTAATCACCTTTACCGTTTAATTACTTTAGTAATTGGAGAAATGCAGAAACACAGAGAACGTAGTCAGGATTTCTTAGACTGCCATTTGGTTACCAATAAACACTTAATTAATACCATTTAAAAATAATTAAAATTAAAATTGCAAGCAGGGAGCAGGAGGCACGTCTTTACCCAAAGGGTGGTGGAAGCGTGGAACAAGACACCCAGCCATATTGTTGAAAACTGAACGCCGGGGTCTTTCGAGAAACAGCGGGATGAGATCCTGAGATCAATTAACTACCAAAAGGACCAGATGGGTGGAATCCTCTCGTTTGTAACCGCAGTGATTTAATGCAGTGATTAAAAAATGCAATATAATATTAATGGCCAAGAGAAAAAACGTTCCTGCCATGTGTACTCTGCGTGAAAGACAGGGTCCCGCCGGCTGCTGTGCTCCCTGCTTCTCGAGTTCACGGCACTGCCAGGGGGTCACAGGGGTGACAGCAGACCGGCTGGGCCCCGTTGCCATAGAAACAGCTTCTCACAAGGCCGCTGGCATCCACTTCAGGTAACCCGTGGCAACTCGGAAACCATGGAAAAATCACGGACAGGGACGTGGTTCCTCACTGGATTCTTTGAGCTGCCTCCACTGTCTTGAAAGCGGCTCGTGTTTTCTTTGCCAGTGCACAACGAGAGGAGCCCTCCAGCTCCTAGGACTCCTGTCTTCAGACGATGGTTATCACTCCATTGTAACTGCACCCGGAACCCTTCAAAACATTGCCTCCTTCCGTGACGATCACAATTCGGTTTAAAACATTTTATATACTGTATCTTTTCATATACGCAAGCTCTCTACGTTATTTACCAGGATAAGTTAGAAACAAAAACCAGTGGCTGTTCAATTGCAGCTCCTCACTGACCACATAGTGACCCTATACTGACCACATCCTTCTCAAGGAAGCAAAGGAATACACCGTTTTCTTCCCCAGAAACAACTCCAACATCAATAAAACAAAAACGCTCGTGAGGTTAATGAGTGAAGAGTGAGGAAGGAAGGTATTTGGCAGTGCAACTCTTTAATGGCAATAATGAAGTAAACACTTAAGTACTTTCTGTCACCAGTACATGGTATGCAAATCTTCAAATCTTCTAAGAACACCAAAGTCCTAACAAATAATTAGATCACACTGATATTTAATAACTGAATTTCAGTGGCAAGCTTGTGTATGATATAAACTTCCCCTCACTGGTCTCTGCTGTTTAACACTTGAGTTTTCAATGCTGTTGAAACAGGTGGGCTATACTGGCACTGCATCACTCTATAACCCCCACTGCTTGCAGAACTCCTTCATCAGCATGCTTCATCAGGAACACCTACCAGTCTAATATCAGGGGTCAAAGCACCTTTGACTGAGAGCTGAACGAGAGCTTTGCTTCTGATTCAACCATTTCTGCGCCAGCAGTCTGTCTGGCCAGCTCCTGGTGATAGCTGTTACAGATACTGAACACCAAAGACACTGAACACTTTATCTGACTCTTGACAGACGGTTTTCAGACATCAGATCATCATCAAAAAACAAAGCTGACATCAGATCTATATATCGCAAACATATTTCTGACTTTACGAAATATAATTTACTACGAAATTCTTTCTTTTGGCCTTCATTCATCAAAGGAATGAAAAATGAAAATAATATTTTTTTTCAAAATTATTCTTCATTATCCTTCATTAGACAGATCTGCAGGAGCCATCTAATGAGACCTAATTGGGTTCCTTCCTTCATGTGCATGTCAGAAAGAAGCCAAGTCACGCTCAGAACAGACTGTCTTAAAATCGGTTTTCAGAAGCTCTGTTTCCAGAGTTCTTTTGTGTGTCTCACATAGCTAGGGAAAAAGATTACACCATTTTGTCGATACCTTAGTTAGTCCACTAGCAGGGAAGACGAGCCAGAGTGGGGAATCGATCGTGAGAATACATATTCAGTAGGTGTCCGGCGCAAACCCCCAACTGCAATGTCCTGTAATCATGCTTAATGGCAGCCTACATCTCCATGGAGACACAGATTACAGATGGAGCTGCAAGCCTCACTTCAACCAAGCCATCCAAAAAGAAAATTACCACCCCCCCCCACCCCCCAGGGAAGCACAGTCTGAGGGATATTGAACAGCTTCTCATTTTAAAGGCAACAAAAACACCTTATTATCTGTTCGATAAATATGCTGACCAAACGCCAGCACAGAAATACAGCAAGGCTCCTCAAAGAAACCGCTGCTGCTGTTTCAGATTGCTGACAAGGGAATGGGCTTGGTCAGTATCACTCTACTTTGCTCCAGCATTCCGCACAATAAGGTTTTAAAAAAGAAGCAAGGCTAATACTCGACAATGCATTTTTTCTTTTTGTCTCACAATCCACTGTTCAAAAGTGTTCAAGTTATGCACTGCAGGCGTACACCTTCATGGGATGAAAAGAACTGGCTCTCACTGTACATACAGCATATCAACCACTACAAAGAGATGTAAATGACTTTCACTATATATTCTCAAAGGATGCTCCCCAATTTCTAGTACTACAGTTCCTTCATAATTCTTTTAACAATTTACAAACCATTAACCTCAAACAGAAACACAAACACACCTGATTGAACCTGGGACAGGCCTACTGGAGTCAGACACAGCCCAGAGTGAAAGTGCTGTAGACCACTTTCTTACTGGTCCGGCTGATGTCCGGTTTGATCTGCCCAATTTCTGTAGAGCCTCCTTTTACTGGCTGTCTCGGCAATAAGGCGAGATTTGCAAAACACATTGTGCAAGTGTGCTATTTGATGTAATTGTAACAATTTGTAGTCTAAGGTTGAAGTTAAGGGTAGAAAAATACAGTGTCTGTCTGCTGGGTTCTGCTGTAACCAGGCCCTTAACCCCCAGTAACTAACCAGTGCCTGAAAAAGCTGTACTGTACTAGCAGTCTAAACTGCACTGATTCAGAAGGTGAAGGTTTCAGAAATACCCTAGCACAGAGTTTTTCAGCACTGGTCGAGGGTAATCACTGTGTCTTCTGGGTTTTCATAATCACAGGTGCAGTTATTTCAATCTTCTATTTGCTGCCCCTTTTTAAATTCACTTTCAGCTCTCCGGGTGCTGAATGAAGTTTGTCAGGTAAAGAGTGCTTTGCTAACTGGTGAGTTTCAGGTGAGCAAAGCTGATATATAACTATTTGGACTTGGGCAGGAGGGCGACACTAGCTCACTGTGTGAGGTCTGGTACAGTGTCATTCTCCCTGTGGCTGTTCATCATCAGCTGGACATCTAGTCAAACACAAGGGAGAAAATGATAAATCAGAAAGTTGAGGAATGACCATGTGAAGCTCTGTGTGCTGAAATTGCTAATAATTATTATAAATGCACTCTTATTAGGGTATTTCTGAAGCCGAGTATAAAAAAAAAGTCTACCCCAGCAAGCAGATCACTTACAGGCAGCAATTAACACTGGTGATCAAGGGCCCAAGTGGAACAAGAGCTAACAGACACAGGGAGGCCTCCAGTCACAGTCCCGGATGATCCACAGGTGTGTATCTGCTCAACATCAAATAATGTTCATAGATCTAAGGATTACAGGGTAATAAAAACTCATTTTCTGCTACAGTCATCCCACTAATCTTTTAAAAACTCTCTCACAGGGATATATTGCTCATTATCAAACAAACTTCATAACTTACATTGTTTGTTGGAAATGAACATGTAGTTTTTATTGTATATTTTATATTAGTATTATAACTATAAATCACCTCCACCAGGAGTTTTTTGGTTTAACTCATTCAATGGCTTTAGATTTGCTACAGCAGCAGGCACAAGAATATGTCAATCTTACAGACAATTAACATTGAAATAGTGTTTATCTTACAATAAAGTCATGAATAATACATTTAAAATGGTCTGATTTATGAGGGACAGCAAGATATAAAAAATAAGGTTTCAGATGGAGAGGGATATTACAAGTGATTTGCAAATCTATATGTTGTTAGATGCTGTTGTTAATGATGCCAGTGATTATTTCATAAGTCACAAGATCTTCACTCTACAAAGTCTCCCTGTGTCCCTCTGCAGGACTGCTCTGCCCCAACACTTAGCTGATATTCATTCCTGTCTTTGTAATGACATTACAAACTATACAGGCCAAGCACAGTTATTAGCCTGTACATGTGCCAGCTGCTTGATTTATTTTGTTTTTAATTAAGCCTCTTGTGTCACAATTTCAATATCTGACAGCTCTCTGCCTAATCCCAGGAGGGGAACACAGGCAGCTATGGGCATGAATTAAAAAGCCAGCAAAGATGGTCTTTACATTTTGGTTAAAAGTTTAACGGAGCTTAACTCAATCAGTACATTTAAATGCTGACAAGTATCTGGAAATAAGATATACAGTATGCATTTTTAAATAACGTTTCAACATATCTTTTCTGTAATCAAGCAAACTATGAATATATACCTGGTATCTTACATTGCCATTTCACAATTATGCAAAGTTTGATTTACTGCCAACACAAATCTGCATATTTTTCCTCCTGCAAGCTAAGTTGTGAATTTTTTTTTGTAGATCCTGTGACTGGTACACTGGGGCCAGAGCTCCTGCTGCCAGTCTCCTTGTTGTCACTACCTTTGCATCAAT